CTTCCCTTTTCCAGCTGAACGCCTGCAGCCTCGCTCTGTTCCGCCTCCGAGAAAGATGACACCGGGAGTCTCCCTCACTTCCGCTTCTGCCCGGCATACACATGGTGCCCCCCACAGTATTTCCACTTGTAGGTTTCTTCCGTTGTGGCCGGGGAAGGCCACGCCACTGACCTCCTGGGCATCCCTCCAGCTCTGGCCCCGACGACCCGTGTGTCCTTCTTTGCACCTGCCGAGGAACCACCCGCGAGAGACGCTCTGAGGGACCCCAGTGCCCTTTTTACTGCGGGACGTGGCACGGCCTTTCCCAGCCCTCGAGATGAAGTAGAGCCGAGTAGCAACTCCCCCACCGGCCACCAGGGGGCAATAAAGGACGGGTCTTGACTCCACCTGCTGGTCCTCAGGAGCGCTGCAGCCCAGAGATGCTCTACCCAGGGTTTCCTTTGGAGGGCAGCTCTTCCTCCCAAGGAGGCGGGGCCCTGTCTGTTCCTAGATTAGAGTGCACAACAACCTGCCCAGGTAGGCTGGCGAAGGCACTGCAGAGGCTGATTGGTAAGAAAGTTTGGAGTTTATAGTTCAGCAACATCTTGTTTCCATTCACACAACACAATTCTCTTCCTGAGATCTTACACCCACATTCACATGTGCTAAGTGTGGCAGTGTTGAGAAGGGCTGGATTTCCGGAGCTTTGCCTGTCCTAGTCTAGCCTCCCTTACTTCATATATCTGGGGATGGCCTTACATGGTGCTGACGTTTGGAAAACCCACTTAAATTATACAAATGAGATGGAGGAGCCCTTTCACACCCACAACGGAGGCCAAATTAGCCCCAGATTCAGCCACGTCACACTTGCTCCAAATAGGCACCGAGTGGGATGATCGTTTAAAGGCAATTTATTAGTCTATTATAGCAAAGAGATTTCCCTCAATGAAAAGAGGGAATCCAGGACACAAAATCGGGTTTCTTTTATACGCCATATAGTAGAAAAAGTACATTAATGATTCCCCTGTGGAGATGGTTACCAGCATCAAATTCCTGGGTGTGCAGCTAATGAATAAAATTACATACCCCTTGAAAAAGTGTGTAAAATTATTCAAATTCCACTATTTGGCATCACAGAAGAGCACAATCATTAAACCGAGTGTACCAATAAAGGGAATAATAAAATGGCGCTGTGCATAAGTTTACTTACTCCTCAATGTTTGGGCTGAGAATATAGTATTCATGTTGACAAAGATTGAGATGGCAATGAAGGGTAAGAGTTCACACCTGTCTTACTGAGCTGTACTTAGGTCTGTGATAAACATTCAAGTAGCTTCTCAGTGCAGTATTGCAGGCAGACTGTCCACAGCCTGGAGTTTGATTCTGACAGCGCTCAAGCCTTGACTCAGCCATCCATCCTTCTGAGGATGGTAAAAGGGGGATCCAGATTGTTGGCGGCAATATGCAAATAATGTTTACCATGGAAATCTCCCAGAGTGCACTGTAAAGCACTATGGGGCGGCATATAAGCCTAAATGCTATTGTTATTTCAGTGGCACCGTTGTGACTGAAGGCTTTTCCACATTCAGCCATATTTAGCATTTTTCCCCATGTTAATTCTTTGATGTCGATAGAGGTGTCCACAAACAATAAAGCTCTTTCCACACTCAAGGTATTTGTATTGTTTTTCTCCCGAGTGGACTGATGCTGACAAAGACTTCCCTTCCCACAGAAACCCTTTCCACGCTCCAGGCATTTATATGGTTTCTCTCCTGAATGGAGTCTTTGATGTCTGTAAAGGTTTCCCCTCCAACTAAAGCTCCTTCCACACTCCAGACATTTATATGCTTTTTCTCCTCTGTGAATGCTTTGATGTTTATGGAGACCTTGACTTTCAGTAAAGCTCTTTCCACACTGGAGGCATTTACAGATAGTCCCCTAGGTACAAGAGTTCATTTAGCCACTTTTCACAAAAACGAATTTGACGTGAATGAAGGTTTCCCCTCAGATTGAAGTGCTTTCCACACTGCAGGCATTTATACGGTTTTTCTCCTGAGTGGATCCTTTGATGTCTATAAAGGCTGCTCCTCTGACTGAAGCCCTTTCCACATTCCAGGTATTTATGCGGTTTCTCGCCTGAGTGGATCCTTTGATGTCTATAAACTGTATTTTATCAAATTTTATTTTAAATTGCTTTTATTAGACTTTGGTAATGATTTGTTATTGGAACTTTGCACTTTGATATGGCCCAAGGGCTAATCAATAAAGATTATTATTATAAAGGCTTCTCCTCTGACTGAAGTTCTTTCCACACTCCAGGCATTTATATGGTTTTTTTCCAGGGTGAATTCTTTCATGTATATAAAGGTCTCCCCTCTCACTGAAACTCTTTCCACACTCCAGACATTTATATGCTTTTTCTCCTCTGTGAATGCTTTGATGTTTATGAAGAGCTCGACTTTCAGTAAAGCTCTTTCCACACTGGAGGCATTTACAGGTAATCCCCCAGGTACGAGAGTTTATTTAGCCACTTTTCACAAAAACGAATTAATTAAATTAATTCAGGAAGGGTACTTACATTAGAAATTCAGAATTGCGACCAAAAAGGTCTGTCTAGCCCTGTGACTTGGTTTCAGTCTCTACTGCAGTGGCGGCCATTTTTATCTCTCTGACTTTCCTTGGCTGTTCGGGGCTACGAGAACCTGGCAGGGTTTTTGTCCCTGGCCAAATGGCCAAACAAGTTCAGAGCCAGCTCTGGTTTTTGCTTTTGCTAGCTGAAGATGCTTGAGCTGGCTAGCAGCCGTTATTTTTTTAAAAAGTTAACTGCAATGGTTCCAAGCTAAATTGGCATTCATAAGGTTTCTCCGCTTGTGTGGATTCTTTGATGTCTATGAAGGTTTCCCCTCAGACTGAAGCTCTTTCCACATTCCAGGCATTTATGCAGTTTCTCTCCTGAGTGAATTCTTCGATGTGCATAAAGGTTTCCTTGAAGACTGAACCTCTTTCCACACTCCAGACATTTATAAGGTTTTTCTCCTGTGTGGATCCTTTGATGTCTATAAAGGTTTCCCCTCAGACTGAAGCTCTTTCTACACTCCAAACATTTATGTGGTTTTTCTCCTGTGTGGATCCTTTGATGTCTATAAAGGTGTCCCCTCACATTGAAGCTCTTTCCACACTCCAGGCATTTATGTGGTTTTTCTCCTGAGTGGATCCTTTGATGTCTATAAAGTTGTCCCCTCACGTTGAAGCTGTTTCCACACTCCAGACATTTATGTGGTTTTTCTCCTGAGTGGATCCTTTGATGTGTATAAAGGCTGCTGCTGCAACTGAAGCTCTTTCCACACTCCAGGCATTTATGCTGTTTCTTTCCTGAGTGGACCCTTTGATGTGCATAAAGGTTTCCTTGAAGACTGAACCTCTTTCCACACTCCAGGCATTCATAAGGTTTTTCTCCTGTATGGATCCTTTGATGTCTATAAAGGTTTCCCCTCAGACTGAAGCTCTTTCCACACTCCAGGCATTTATAACATTTTCCCCCTGTGTGGATCCTTTGATGTCTATAAAGGCTGCTCTTCTCACTGAAGCTCTTTCCACACTCCAGGCATTTATAAGGTTTTTCTCCTGTGTGGATCCTTTGATGTCTATAAAGGGTTCCCCTCAGACTGAAGCTCTTTCCACACTCCAGACATTTATGTGGTTTTTCTCCTGAGTGGATCCTTTGATGTATATAAAGGCTGCTGCTGCAACTGAAGTTCTTTCCACACTCCAGACATTTACAAGGTTTTTCTCCTGTGTGGATCCTTTGATGTCTATAAAGGTGTCCCCTCCGATTGAAGCTCTTTCCACAATCCAGGCATTTATGTGGTTTTTCTCCTGAGTGGATCCTTTGATGTATATAAAGGCTGCTGCTGCAACTGAAGCTCTTTCCACACTCTGGGCATCCGTACGGTTTCTCTCTTGAGTGGATCCTTTGATGTCTATAAAGGTGTCCCCTCACATTGAAGCTCTTTCCACACTCCAGGCATTTATGTGGCTTTTCTCCTGAGTGGATCCTTTGATGTATATAAAGGCTGCTGCTGCAACTGAAGCTCTTTCCACACTCCAGACATTTATGCTGTTTCTCTCCTGAGTGGATTTTTTGATGTCTATGAAGGTTGCTGCTGCAACTGAAGCTCTTTCCACACTCTGGGCATCCGTACGGTTTCTCTCCTGAGTGGATCCTTTGATGTGTATAAAGGTGTCCCTTCTGACTGAAGCTCTTTCCACACTCCAGGCATTTATGTGGTTTCTCTCCTGAGTGGATCCTTTGATGTCTATAAAGGCTGCTCCTCTGACTGAAGCTCTTTCCACACTCCAGGCATTTAAACGGTTTTTCTTCTGAGTGGATCCTTTGATGCATTTTAAGATCTCCATTTGCTTTGAAAGATTTTCCACATTCCGGGCACTGATGTTTCTCTCCTCCCTCCTGGATTCTCTGGGGATTCCCGAGTCTTCCGCCTCTTCTGAAGGACCCTCCGCCCTCCAGGCCCGTCTCGGGGTCTCCGCCCGTTTCCTGCTCCCCGCTTCTCCCTCCAGGCGGCCTCCTTTCCCGGAGTCCCCTTCGGCTCATCCCTTCCGGGCCTTCCGCGCCGTCTCCTCCCGGGGCTGCTCCGCGGGGCCTCCTCTCCTCTCGGGCGGCGCCTCCTTCCTTCCTTCCTTCCTTCCTTCCTCCGCCGGGCTCGCCCGTCCTCCTGCAGGGGCGAAGGGAGAGGAGGAGAGGCGGGTCAGGGCTTCGTCCCTTCCCCGGAGGGGAGTCCCAGGCCCGCCCGGGGAGGAAGGCCGAAGCCTCCGCCTGTCAGTGAGACTTTTCGGGTAGGCCTCCCTCCCAGCGCCCGTCCCGCCAGACCAGGCCTCGCCTCCCCCCTCCCTTCCCTTCCCCTCCTCCGCCAGAGAGCCTCTCGGACTGCGACTCCCAGCATCCCTTGCGCCCTACCTGGGTCCGAGCCCGCCCGTGGATGAATCAATTAGAGCGCTTCAGTTCTATTCGTTCCCGGAAGTGGAGGCGGGACTTCCCAGCGAGGTCTGTTCCTGGCTGCTCTTCCTCTTTCCTTTGAATGGACCCGCCCCTAGGAGTCCTCCTGCCAATCGCTGCCCTGCCCAGAGCGCCCAATCTACGTCCCGCTTCCCCCGATCTATCATCATATGTCGCCTCTCAGGGAGACTTTCCGGGCAGGCCTCCCTCCCAGCCCCCGTCCCGCCAGAGCAGGCCTCGGGCTCCCCCCTCCTTCCCGGGGTTCCCTTCTCCGCCAGAGAGCCTCTCGGACTGCGACTCCCAGCATCCCTTGCGCCCTACCTGGATCCGAGCCCCTCCGCGGCCGAATCAATTAGGGCGCCTCAGTTCTATTTTTTCCGGAAGTGGAGGCGGGACTTTCCTGCGAGGTCTTTTCCTGTTACCGGTAGCTCTTCTTTCCTTTGAATGGAGCGCCCCGAGGAGTCCTCCTGCCAATCGCTGCCCTCCCCACAGCGACCAATCGGCGTCCTGCTTCCTTCCAACCATCAGCCACATGGCGCGTGCGCAGTAGCGAAGGGTCTATTCGGCAAGGGGGTGGGGCGAGGGGCTCCCCTTGAAGTCTTCTCCCCCCCTCGCCCCCCCCCGCATCCAGGCCGGCTGAGCTGAGGGGCCCCCTCCCTCCCTCCCCCCACTGGGGGTCTCTCCCTGGGCAGGGCGGGGGGGAGCTGGGGCTGCGCTTCCTGCCTTCTTCCTCCTGGGGGGCTCCGGCCAGGCTCCCCCCGCGGCCCCCAGCAGCCCCTCTCCCGGGCGGGGCGGGGTCGGAGCAGGTGATTTTCAGGGAATAGGTTTGGGAATAGATCAAAGTTTCATCCGATGCTTCAGATTTCATCTTGACGGGAACCATCCAGTTTCATTTAATGACCATCCAAAGCTGGGAAGACTAAGGACATAACTGACTAGACCAGGGGTAGGCCACCTTGGATCTTTTATGACTCGTGGACTTCAACTCCCAGAATTCCTGAGCCAGCATGAGGGAAACTTTGGCTCTTTTATGACTCGTGAACTTCAACTCCCAGAATTCCTGAGCCAGCCCTGCTGAGGGGAAAGGGAGAGGTTTCCAAGCTGAGCCATGCTGGCTCAGGAATTCTGGGAGTTGAAGTCCATGAGTCATAAAAGAGCCAAGGTTGCCTACCTCTGGCCTAGGCCTAGACCACTTTATGACTCGTGGACTTCAACTCCCAGAATTCCTGAGCCATCATGGCTCAGCTTGGAAACCTCTCCCTTTCCCCTCAGCAGGGCTGGCTCAGGAATTCTGGGAGTTGAAGTCCACCAGTCATAAAAGAGCCAAGGTGGCCTACCCCTGTCCTATACCATCTCAATCAGATGTCCCTCTGTTGATGGGATTGCATTGGCTTTTTTGGCAGCTGCAACTCAATGCTGGCTCAAATTTAAAATGGTTCTCTATTAGTACCTCTCACAGTTGCTGTTGAGCCAGGCACACCTATACCTATGGAAAGCCCGAATGGGCAGTCCTGGTGTTGAAGAGAAGGAGCTCATAGACCAGGGTTTCTCAACCTTGGCCGTTTGAAGATGTGAGGACTTCAGCTCCCAGAATTCCCCAGTCGGCTAAACTGACTGGAGAATTCTGGGAGTTGACGTCCATACATCTTCAAACGGCCAAGGTTGAGAAATACTGTCATAGACAATGATGTGAAGGCAGTTTTGAGGTCCTACAATTTGAGGAGGGAGTAACGGTAAGTAAATACTAGTTTGATGCACCAAATTGCTTCAGTGTGCTTTTTTTTTTTTTTTTTACGAACCACATCACATTTATAATGTGTAATTTTAGGGGGGGAAACAGGGCTAGCAAAAGGCATGGAAATAATGTCCCTGAAGGTACTTCTGGTGGCTACAGTAATTATTCTGGATAAGAAATGAAGATATTATTTCTCTAGGCATATTAAGATATGTACTGTTTAAGAATGGGACTGTTTCATTGCTGTTTCAATGTGATTTTATGCTTTGTTTTGGTTTTATTACAGGTTCCGATATTTATCTTGCCTGTTGGGATTCTCCCTACTGCTGCTTTGACACTGCATTGCGTTATTCTAACCAACTGGGTACCACTTCAGAAAATCTAGTTCCTTGAGGGACAAGAGTACCATGAATATCAGCCACAATCCCCAAATGCCAAAAGCACTGCATAGGACAGGCACTGGAAAAAAAAGTGACTTATGACCATGTTTTATATTTACGACCTTTACAGCATCCCCATAATCATGTGATCAGAAGTCAGATGCTTGGCAACTGGTTCATACTTAGGACCATTGTTGTATCCCAAGGTCATGGGATCGCCTTTTGCAACATTTTTGACAAGCAAAATCGATGAGGAAGGCAGACTCGCTTAACTGCAGAAATTCACTTAACTGTGGCAAGGCTGTAAAAATGGGGCAAAACTCACATAACAAATGTCTCACTTACCAACAGAACCTCTGGGCTCAGCTGTGGTTGTAAATCAAGGATTAACTGTAATCCCTTCTCCACATTCCCCTTAATGGCTTCCCTCTCCAAGATCAGTTCTAAATTACCGGAAGGAGGTTGAGGGGTTGGTGAACTGGCGTAGGGAAAACAGCCTAGTTTTAAATACCGGAAAAACCATAGAAATCATTGTTGATTTCAGAAAAGGCAGGCACAGCCACACTTCTCTGTGCATTAATGATTCCCCTGTGGAAATGGTTACCAGCATCAAATTCCTGGGTGTGCAGCTAACGAGTAGGCTGGCTTGGTTGCTCAACAGCGAGACACTGGTGAAGCGGGCACAGCAGCGCCTGCAGTTTCTGCGTTACATGAGAAAAGCATCTCCTCTTCACGACCTGTTTTCCTTGTTACCTTCTGGGAGGAGGGGTCTTCGTGGTATCCGTAGGAGAAAATTCAGATTCAACCAGTTTCATTCCATACAGCATTAACCTTGCGAACTCTCAAGCTTCCTCCTTCCGTTATATATTCAAGATGGACAGTATTTAATATTTATTTGCTACGTATATGTAGGGGTGTGGGTCTATGCGTATGTTGTTCATAGTATGTTTAGGTGTGTGTCATGCATGCGTTTCACTTTGAGAGCGGGCAGCTAAATTTCATTTTTGATGTGTGCCATTGTGCCCACAGTGTAAAAATGACAATAAAGGTTATCTTATCTTTATCTAAATTCCTTCATAGGCCTTCAGGGCCATGCCCAGATTCCCAGACCTGAGTTTGATTGATTTGGGTCAATCACTTACAGCGTTTTTTGGGGGAGATGTTACATTTGGCACTTAAAAGCTACCTGAAAATAAACAGCTTTGAACACTGCAACATACACCTGGCTTCCTCTGCTTGCTGCCCATCAGCTGTGTTGGGACAGATGTGTTCCAGCCAAGGGGGATAGGCAAGTGGCTTATATTTGGATATTGTGACAGCTCCAGGAAGCAGAGACAAAGGGGCTGTTTCTTCATAAGCTCAGCCTTAGTCTCAGCTTCCAGCAGACCGATTCTGGTCTGACTTGCTGAGTAATATATAAAATACAGCACCATTGACCTTTTGAACAAATTCGAGGGTAAGTATGTGTAATTGTATACCGTCACGCTACTACTAGATTTATGTACTCCTCGCAGTATTGGCAAGATGCGAAACAATTTGTAAGAAACGATGGTCAGAGAAAACAATCCCTAACGTCATTCAAATTCAAACTATGAAGCAACATAAAATGGTACAATCTTTCCGCGCTTGTCCTAAGTAGGGCGGCCCCTGCAAAGAAAGGTGGTGAAAAGAAGAAAGGCCGATCACCGATCAATGAGGTGGTTACTCGAGAATATACTATAAATATTCACAAAAGGATCCATGCCGTGGGCTTCAAGAAACGGGCTCCTTGTGCTCTTAAGGAGATTTGAAAATTTGCTATGAAGGAAATGGGTACTCCTGATGTACGCATTGATACCCGATTGAACAAGGCTGTGTGGGCGAAAGGAGTAAGGAATGTTCCTTATCGTATCCGTGTACGCTTATCCGGAAAGCGCAATGAAGATGAAGATTCACCCAATAAGTTGTATACACTGGTTACTTATGTGCCAGTCACATTTTCAAAGGTCTACAGACTGTTAATGTAGATGAAAACTAAGCTTTTATTACAATAAAATGGTACAATCAGTCAATTGTAGCAATAAAGGAAATAATAAAATGGTCCTGTTTGATTCCTAATGCTTGGGCTGATAATACATTATGCACTCAAGTTGAAGCACACTGGTTGAGATGGCAATGAAGGGTAAACATCTGTGGAGATTCTTAGCCGTCCAGGTCATCGTTGTCGCCAAGGTGCTTTTTTTTCCAAGAGGCAATTGGACTTTCTTGATTTCCTTTGAAGACGTTTTGCTTCTCATCCAAGAAGCTTCTTCAGCTCTGATTGAAGGAGCACGGTGCTTCAGTCAAAGAAACCAGCTGCAAGCAGAGCACAGGGGCTTCTGGGAATTGCGGGAGATGGTGAGGGGGAGGCCGTTCAGAGCTGGAGAAGCTTCTTGGATGAGAAGCGAAACGTCTTGAAAGAAAATCAAGAAAGTCCAATTGCCTCTTGAAAAAAAGCACCTTATTGGATAATTAGATATGGGATAAATATTCAAGGAGTTTCTTAGCCTTTAAAAAACCTTTGTGCATTACATCCTCAGGGTTGCATTGACTTTGCTGGGTATTAAAGCATTGTAGCAACACACTATAATGGGGCTGGATGGCTCAATGGTTAAAGACTTTGAGTTTGTCAGCTGGAGAGCTGACAGCCCGGGTTCGAGACTCAAGACCTATAGATGACCAGGCTGAGTCCGTGGGAGGGGTCAAATGTGTCGTTAGTCATGAGTCCCTTTGCACCCACAAGAAATCTTAACTTGCATGTGCCTCAGCTACTTAAAAAAAAAAAAAGACAGATTCTGTTCCGGCTTGTTGAGTAATATCTAAAATACAGCACCACAAATTTGTGAGAATAAGTATGCACAATTGAATACAGTCGTGCTAATAGGTATATGTACTCCTCACAGTATTTGCAAGACGTGGATCAATTTGTAAGAAACGATGAGCGATCAGAGAAAAATAATTTGCAACGTCATTCAAATTCAGCTATGAAGCAACACAAAATAGCACAATCATTAAACTGTAGCAAGAAAGGAACTAAGTAAAATGGCCCTGTTTCGGATAGCTTGATGCCTAATGCTTGGGCTGATAATACATTATGCGCTCAAGTTGAAGCACACAGGTTGAGATGGCAATGAAGAGTAAGTATCCACATCTGGGTTTTATTGGACGGTAATTAGATCTGTGATAAATATTCGAGGAGTTTCTTAGCCTTTAAAAAAAAACGTGCGTTACATCCAGGGCTGCACTGACATTGCTGGGTATTGTAACACTCTATAAGGGGATGCGATGGCGGTTAAAGACTTTGAGCTTGTCGGCTGGAAAGCTGACAGCCCAGGTTGAAGACCCAAGAGCTGTAGGAGATGACCAGGCTTAGCCCGAATGCTTCATCAGTCCCTTTGTGCCCACAAGAGATCTAAGTCCAGCCCACCTTAAATTCCTTTCCATTCTTAACTCCCGTTAATTTCCCTTGACAGTTAGTAGTTCAGATTCTTGTAGAGAGCTTAAGCTTATGATAAATCTTTATACACATATGAACTGTCTGGATCTCCGGATTTCCCTGGTGTTGAAAAGAGTTGTGTGATGGGATGAGTCCCAGCTCCTGCCCAATTAGCCATTTAAAAACATGCAAATGAAAGTCGATAAACAGGTAGCACTTTGGTGGAAGAGTAACAGCGTTCCAGGCGCATCAGCATATAGTCATGCTGGCCACAAGACGACGGAAATGTCTCTGGATCACGCTGGCAGTCTTGGCGAAGAAACACAGATAAGCATGGCCCTTAAGAGTCGCAAAACAACTGGATGGGGCAAATTTTTACTTTTATCTGTCCATTTCTATAGTTTTGCTTGGATGGTTTGGGGAGATTTCCATTTCTTTTGAAGGATTTTTCAATCTGTACAAATGTAAAAATTTCTTCTCCCGGTGATATTTACTCAGTAATATTTACTGAGGCCTACGTTGTCACTGAAGCTCTTTCCGCACTCCAGGCAGGTACAGTTTTTTTTACTCTTGTGCGAACTCTTTGAAGTTGATGGTGTCCCCTCTGAGCAAATTTCTTTCCAATGCCAAGCATTTATAGGATTTCTCACCTGAATGGATTCTTTGATGGCTATAAAGGTTTCCCCGCTGACTGAAGCTCTTTCCACACTCCAAGCACTTATAGGGTTTCTCCCCCGTGTGAATCCTTTGATGTTGATAGAGATGTCCACCCTGAGTAAAGCATTTTCCACACTCCGGGCATTTAAAGGGTTTTTCTCCAGAGTGGATTCTTTGATGTGCGTAAAGGCTTGCCTTGTGACTGAAACTCTTTCCACACTTTATGCATTTATATGGTTTCTGTCCTGTGTGAATTCTTTCATGCTGACTGAGGTGTTCTACCCGACTGAAAGCTTTTCCACACTCCAGGCATCGATATGGTTTCTCTCCTGTATGGATCCTTTGATGTTGACTAAGTTGTCCACCATCAGTAAAGCTCTTTCCACACTCTAAGCATTTATATGGTTTGTTTCCTGTGTGAATTCTTTGATGCATATAAAGGGTCCCATTTTGACGGAATCTCTTTCCACAATCCAGGCACTCATACGGCTTCTCTCCTGTGTGGATCCTTTGATGTTGACGGAGATGTGCACTTTCAGAAAAGGTCTTCTCACACTCCAGACATTTGTACGGTTTCTCCCTTGAGTGGATTCTTTGATGTCTATAAAGGTGTCCCCTTTGACTGAAGCTCTTTTCACATTCCAGGCATTTGTATTCTTTTTCTCTAGTGTGAATTCTTCTATGATTAGAAAGGCTTTTCCTCTGACTGAAGCTCTTTTCACACTCCAGGCATTTGTATTCTTTTTCCCTAGTGTGAACTCTTTGGTGATTATAAAGGCTTCTCCTCTGACTGAAGCTCTTTCCACATTCCAGGCATTTATGCAGTTTTTCTCTTGAGTGGATCTTTTGATGTTCACAAAGGCTTTCCCTCTCGCTAAAGGTCTTTTCACATTCCAGGCATTTATGCAGCTTTTCCCCCGTGTGAGTTCTTTGGTGTCGAAGGAGGTGCCCACTCACAATAAAGCATTTTCCACACTCCAGGCATTTATATGGCTTTTCTCCAGTGTGGGTTCTTTTGTGTATGTAAAGGTTTCCACCGAGCCGGAAGGTTTTTCCGCATTCGAGGCATTTAAATGGTTTTTCTCCTGTGTGGATCCTTTGATGGGCGTAAAGGTTTCCGCTTAAACTGAAGGTTTTCCCGCATTCCAGGCATTTATAGGGTTTTTCTCCCGTGTGGATCCTCCGATGGGCGTAAAGGGTTCCCCTCTGACTGAAGCTCTTTCCACACTCCAGGCATATAAATGGTTTCTCTCCTGAGTGGATTCTCAGGTGGTTTTCCAGGTTTTCATTCGTTCTGAAGGATTTTTCACATTCTGTGCACTGATATTTCTTTTCTCCGACCGTTTCCTGCTCCCCGCTTTTCCCTCCAGGCGGCCTCCTTTCCCGGAGTCCCCTTCGGCTCATCCCTTCCGGGCCTCCCCCGCCGTCTCCTCCCGGGGCTGCTCCGCGGGGCCTCCTCTCCTCTCGGGCGGCGCCTCCTTCCTTCCTCCGCCGGGCTCGAACGTCCTCCTGCAGGGACGAAGGGGGAGGAGGAGAGGCGGGTCACGGCTTCCCCGGAGGGGAGTCCCAGGCCCGCCCACCCTTCCGGGGGAGGAAGGCCGAAGCCTCCGCCTCTCCCCGACCCTTTCCGGGCAGGCCCGAGGCGTACCCGGCTTCCTCCCTCACCGCGACTCCCAGCAGCCTCCGCGCTCTACTTACATCCGGTTTCTCCGACTCCGAAGTGCCGCTCTCCTCGGGTCAGCTCTCTGATTCCGAAAGTGGGGCGGGACCTCCCAGCGCCGCCTTTTCGGCGAAGCCCCGCCCCTTCCTCTCCGGGCGCCGCCTTCGCGAAGTCTCCTCATGTGGAATTTGAGGGCTGTACCCCGTCACGCCGTTCGTATTTGCATACGGGCGCCGCCTGCGCCACGCCATTGGCTTGCCGGCCGCGCGGTCCCGCCCCCTGCTCGATTCACTCCGCCTCCGAGTCTGGGCTCCTCTCCTCCCCGCGTTGGCTCCTCCCCTGCCGCGTTGGCTCCTCCCACCCTCGTTGGCTGCGAGGGTCGGGGGTGGACGGAGGCTCCCCTTGCCGGCCCGGGGACCCTTCTCGCCTCCGCTGCTGCCTCTTATATCCCCGGAGCTGCTCCTTTTCCCGCCCCACGGAGCCTCTACTGGGTCCGGGTCTGCTCCGAGCTGGGCGTGCATCTCCGGGTGGCCCCCTTTCCTTCTCTCCTCTTGGGAGGGGCGGGATTTGCAGCTGGATCTCCCTTGGGAACGCCTCCACCCCCACCAGCACCCCCAAATCTACAATCTAGACGCCCCCAGGCCGCCTGTCTCCCTCGGAGACCCAGGTTCTCTCCCTGCTGGAAGGAAAGGCGGGGGGGGGGGGTGTCGCGGTTATTGCCAGCTTCAAACGTGCCTTGAGCACAGTAATCCTTCTGGGTATTCCGTTAGTTGTTCTTTAAATGTACTTGCCACCCGATTCCCAGGGTTTCCTGCTAGTTTGCAAATGTTAAAAACAAGTTTTGTTGTTGTGTGACACCCAAATTGGGGTGTGTGTGTGACCTGGCAAACCCCTTAAGGAAAGAATTCAGAATCAGAATAGAAGCTGGAAGGGACCTTGGAGGTTATCTAGTCCAATGCTCGGCTCAAGCAGGAGACACTACTGGAGCATTTCAATCAGTAAATCAGAATAGAGCTGGATGGGACCTTAGAGGTCTTCTAGTCCAGCTCCCCGCTCCCTATACCACCTTAGACAAGTGACTGTCCAGTCTCTTCTTAAAAACCTCCAGTGATGGAGCGCCCACGATTTCTGGTGGCAAGCTGTTCCACTGGTTGATTGTCCTCGCTGTCAGGAAGTTTCTCCTTAATTCCAGGTTGCTTCTCTCCTTGATTAGTTTCCATCCGTTGTTTCCTGTCTTGCCTTCTGGTGCTTTGGAAAATAAATTGACCCCCTCCTCTTTGCAGGTTGCTTCTCTCCTTGATTAGTTAGAAGATAGAAGTCATTTCAGATTTTTTTTTTCATTTCATGTTTCATGTTTTTTTCATTTCATGTTTCATGTATTCCTCTGGTGGAATACTTTTCATAGTATCTGAGCATAATCATAGTTTAGTCCACCTTCCTGGGTGCTTAACTGGGCCTTCCTCACTTCTCAATCTGGACCCTTTGATTCCCTTGCGATCGTTATCTGAACCATCAACTCCCAAACAAAAGACATCACTCAGGCATCAGTTTTTATTTTCAAAGAATGCATCTTTGGCCCATTCCGCATTGATTCGTTCATCATTCAATGTTCCTAAATTGGTTTGCTTTGCAAATCTTAACTTTCCAATCTTATTTTCTGAAGAATGCAATAATCTGATAAGACAGGTAGCCTGGAAGACACTAACAATCAAAGATACAAGTACAGATTAGGCGAGACCTGGCTCAAAAACAGCAACTGTGAAAGGGAACTTGGAGTCCTGGTGGACGATCACTTAACCATGAGCCCACAGTGTGCAGCAGCAGCCAAAAAAGCTAATACAATCCAGGGTTGCATAAACAGACATAGAATCAAGATCACACGAAGTATTAGTACGCTTTAGTACGAAGTATTAGTACGCTTTATAAAACCCTGGTGAGGCCACATCTGGAATACTGCAGCCAATTTTGGTCACCATATCACAAAAAGGATGTTGAGAGTTTGGGAAAAAATTCAGAGAAGAGCAACTAAGATGATCAAAGGCCTGGAGGCTAAAACATGTGAAGAGCAGCTGCAAGGCTTGGGTTTGGCTAGTCTAAAGAAAAGAAGAAATAGGAGTGACATGATAGCAGTCTTCCAGTATTTGAGGGGCTGCCACAAAGAAGAGGAGGGTCAAATTATTCTCCAAAGCACCAGAGGGCAGGACAAGAAATAATGGATGGAAACTGATCAAAGAGAGAAGCAACCTGGAATTAGGGAGAAATTTCCTAACAGTGAGGACAATTAACCAGTGGAACAGCTGGCCTTCAGAAATTGTGGGCGCTCCAT